GATATATTATATTGGACAATATTTTTAGAGGAAGTTTTTTTTGTAATTCACAAAATTAATTATAATAAAAATTTGCAGCAATCATTTCATCAATACAGTATTTATATATATATATATATATAGAGGATAGAAGATAAGACGAAGCATTATATGCAAGTGAATTAAGGATGCGTGGGATTTTCAATTAAAGCTGACCTCTGTTAGACCGGGGAAACCTAATGGACGAATGTATAATAGACAAAATATAAAATAGTTATAATAGAAATATGTTCCTTTCATTTTGTAAATAGTAAATAACTGGAACCGTTCTTCATTCTTCACTGCAGTATGTTCCCAGGGGTATATTGGGTCATAACGAACTTTTTCCAACTGTCATGATTTCTTGCCAGGGTTTTAATTTCTACAAAGGTTCTTCCGCTTGCTTGGATTTCTTTCTCTAGTGTTCGCTTCCACGTTTGCTTGGGCCTATCAGGTCTTCTGCTACTATAAACGTGAGTAAACATTAACAGGTATACATTATAAATAGGTATATCAACGTATTTAAGCGTCAGATCTCAGAGCTTCTCTAAGAGAAGCGCTATGTTATTTCGTCCAAAAAAATATTTTAGATAAAAGTATAAAGAATTTTTTGTTTTTATAATGACAGCATTTCACTATATAATTGATAGTGAAAAAATCAAATTAAAGTCTTTAATTGAAGTGCATATGTCAATAAGTTTCGATTTACTAATTTGTCAGCAAAAAATATCTAACATTGAATATAAATTTTAATTTATTTTCGATACAAATTAAAGTGCTGAAAATTGAATAAAGCCAAAAACAGTTGGATTCTGTAGCCTAAATCAATAAATCAGAGCAAATTCCATATAAATTGCCCACACAATTGTGCATAATTAACAAAGCAAAATATTTCTTATTAGTTGAGCTTACTGAAATTTATATTCATATTTATATTGTTGAATATAATAACGATAAATACAATAGTCGATTGCAAAACTATAGTATTTTATTTAGTCGGTGCATAAATTTCAGCAAATTTAATGTGTATTTACTTGCTGCAAATGCCTCGCAGCACAATGCAAATTAATTATGAGTTTTCATTGCTTTATGTTAAATTAACTTTGACAACAAATACTTAAATGCATTTAAATTAATTATACAAAAAAAATATGAAAAAAAAGCATACTTTATTGGCTTATAATGAATATGCAAAACCAAGCAAGTTTATGTAAATAATGGCAAAGGACTATTGTGTGGCTGCAAGGATGTGCGGTTCATTGAGGTAAGCAAATATGTAAAATATCATACCACAATTGAACTTGTGTTTACTGTGACGTATGTTTCTTGTTAAATTGGTTAGTATAATTTATTGGTTAGTTTTGAACAATTTTTTGCATTATTTAACGAATTTACATAGCAAAATTGAAAAGGAGATTGGGTATTTAGCATATTTCTACAGATACGAAAAAAATTCTGTGAAAACTTCACTTCACATTAATCTTTTGATGCAATTTTCTAGCTGTCATTGTAAATTTAAATTCCAAATTATACTACATACAGTTCAATAGATCCATGCATAGTAGTTGGAAATTAATAATTTTTCAAAAGCTTTTCTTAGAATTCCCAAAAACTCGTAAACGCAGAAAATCAAATCATAAGAGAGAATCAACAAGCAACAGGACAGTGCGTAAATGCTCTCAGGATTCTAAAATACTTGATTTGTAAACTTGTTACGAGAAGGACACACATAAGTGTAAAATCACATAAATGTCAATGCATAAAACAAATCTGAGATACTTTATCGAACATCTCGAGTGGAACGAAGAATGCACACCCAAACCAATACATAAAGCTACACAAATCGTGCAATCGGTTGGATTTTCTTCTGCTTCTGCTTCTTCTACTTCTTTTGTGCACTAAACTCAGCAATTTTCCATACAATTTTACTTTACACATTTGACCAGGACAAGAGAAGCAGCTTGTTTGCATGTATTTATGAGGACATTTTTTCATTTCAGTTTTTTTTTTTTTCTTTTTAACTCAATGAAGTGATGGAATGTTGACTTTGATTTGTATCAATGCGAAGTATTTTGCAGTAATACTGGAGGAATGGCTAGGCAGCTAGGCAGCAAACCAACAATTTTATGATGAACAACACACAAACAGAGCTCAGCAGAAAAGCCAATGTTAATGTGAGATACAATTTCTTCTTCTTACTTCTTCCTGCCTAAATGTATCTTCTTTAGACGTAAACTTAGTTGACTGCAAAATTTATAGTTGAATAATTTGACAATAAATTATCATATGAAATATACAATTTGGCCTGAAGGAAAATTGTTAGATGTTAGATAAATGTTACAAAGTTAAGTGGTTTACACAAAAAAAAAGTATCTAACAAAAATAACTTTTATGTGTAAAGTAAGTCACTATACATTTGAATGA